TTGTTGTATTCCGTCGCTATTCCGACTGTCGCGGCTTTTGCAAAAAATAAACGACGAAAAACTTATAGAATTAGCGCGGAGGTATCCCGTATTACGCGAAATACACGGGCGCTGGTTTTTTTTTTTTTTTAGACGAATTTCTAATTTTAATCTAACAATAAAATTTTGAATGAAATTTTCCCGGCATTCTGAAGTATTCAAAAAAAAAAATCGTTCCATCATCCATCAGCTCTTTATGTAGAGTAGAAAATTCCCCTTCTGTCGGTCTCTTCTTCCGTGCCTGAAGAACCCAAATCCGATTTTTTTTTTTTTTTTTTACTACTTCTTCTTCCTCCTCTTCGTCCGAAATCAAAGCAATCATTAAAAGTTGATTTTCCGAAAACAAAACCATCTTGGCAGATACGATGCACAATACTCAACGACGGACGAATCGCTGGCAATCGTGAATAGAAATCACGGTCGGTAGAAACCCGGAACGGATACGGTCACGTCACTGTCAACGGGAAAACGCGTAGGAAAAACGGGAAAATAGATACAGTTTTAAAGAAAATACACAATACATGTGCAATAATTTTACCCTAATATGACAGATAATATACATATATTGTTGACGAAACTATCAACCGAACTTCGCTGAGAATCGTTTTTCGTTTGTCAATCGTTGCGTACCGTTATACATTGAACTTCCCCTCTACCTCTACCGACTTCACCTCTACAACAGTGGCCCGCCCATCTGTCGAACCGTATGTCCGTATCTCGTTTCATTACGCATTCCCCCAAAACATTCCGAATACTTTGCGCGCGCATTATTCGAAACGTTTTGAAAGCACTACCGCCGTGTAATGCGAGCGAGTCTACTCTGGGCGCACCGAATAAATATTTCGAAAACCGATTTTTCATTGTCGAATATTTTCGGAAAAAAAAAAAGCGCACGCAAAACGGCCAGACACGATAAAACCTCTGTGATATTGTTACGCGGTGTGACGGAGAGACGTTGTGTCATTATCATCTGCGGGTTACGAGGACGGCGATTTGAATAAGTCGATTATCGCCGCGCGATCGAAACACCGAATGCCCGATCGTTTTCGGGTGTGAAAACCAGCTCGTCAAATCTCACGCGTGTATAATAATAATAATGATAATAATAATGCGATACACGCAGGTGCGGGGGTAGCCGATCTCGAGATTTCCGTGTCCGGTCTCGTGATAAGGCTCGAATAAAAACTCTCTCGTTGTTGTTGTTGTTGTTATTATTATTATTATTATGTGGGCAGACGCGATGTGCGCGCGCGTCGCCGGCCCAACGGACGACGCGAGACCGGATAACCGCGGCGCAATCGCGCGCACCGCTGTACAATAATTCCGACGGAGGCGCGTAAAACGGACGAACAAAAAAAAAAACCAAAGGGTCGGACGGGAGAATCGGAAAACGAAATCGATCGACGCGCGATGCGGGCGACCGGCAAACCGCGGCATACCGGGAACGGCGTCCGGAAAGGTCGCGGATGCCGCGGACGACGCGGCGTGTCGGTAGCCCGGTCGCGGCGTGCCCGGCGCTGTTCGTCGCGGCCCGGCACCGCCGTGAATTGCTGTCGAGACCCCATGCACGCGTTTCGACGCGCGGTGTTTAACAGCGGCGCTTCACCGCTTGTGGGCCGCCGAAATTCTGCCGACCGCATCGCCAATCGTCGCGATGACAATGCGCGGGGCCCGCGATCGGATACGCGACCGCGGTTACACGACGGCGATCATTGCGGATGCAGGGCGATCGAGAGTCGGTTTCTGGTCCGATACGCCTACTCGGTTCACAACGGTTTCGTTTCAAAATGAAAATGAACCGACGAGAAATAAAAAAAAACAAACGAACGAACGGACGAAATCCGAATACTAGTGGGTTAACCGTTCTTGAGTCGTTATTGTAAAACGCTGTTTAGAATGCGAACGCGCATTATCAATAACGCAATAAAAAAAAAACATACGGCCGGCATACTTCGTACGGCGGGCGGACCACCGTTGTTGGCGAGAAGTCGGGAAGGTAGTTGGGAAATGCGTTGTGTGTCTGTACGCAACGATTAACGATTGCGAACGCAAAACGATTCCGAGCGCGGAGTCCGGTTACGCGTGTTTTAAAAGGCCGTAACAATTACGATTCGAAAATAATACGCATTTCCTACGTTTTTTCCGGGTTTTTTATTTATTATGAAAACCCTCGGGAAAATCATAAAAATTAACACTTTACCGCCCCAGACAGATTCACCATTAAAATGCGCGTTCTAAACATACAGCCGACTTAGTACATTTTTTTTTATAAGATTCAATTTTAAATTAACAAAAATCAAATAAAGAAATTATAACAAATTATAAATAATTTACGAGTATATGAGTCACGGTGCCCCGGGAAAGTACTTGCGGTGCTCTTAGGGCACCGCGACGCACGGTTTGGAAACCGCTGTAATACATTCCTCGTTACGCACAGAATCTAAAACAAACGAAATGCGATCTATTTCAATAATTATGATTTTCAAACGCAATTACCCTGCAACCAAGAGACACTAACTGTCGCCGACTGCTGCCGCGTGCGTCACAAAGAAACGATGCCGCGGACGTATATTCGCGTTTGTGAAGTTCGCTGACGATTTACGCACGTGTTCCCAGCCACTATCTCCCATTTCACCGTTCGTAATTTTCCCATCGCGAACATTTAGTATGTGATTCGTGAGAATTTTCGTGTCCTATTCCGGAATCCGTACGACGCTACTGCCCCGTAAAAAAACAAAAACACAACGCTAAGGGCCGTGTTACGAAACGGACTTTTCATGTAGCTCCGTTACGAGCATGTAGGCTCGTTATTAGAGATTCCGCCCAGAAACTATGACAGACGTTTTTTTTTTTTTTTATCGTTTATGCAGATTTTTGACCGCTATATAAGCGGGTTGCGGGGGCCCAGCATCAGAAAACAGTTATCGTACATGTGGAACGATTTTTTTGTAAAGTTTTAGATTTTTGTTTATTAATATATTAACGAGGTACGCAATAAATACTCGTACTTGTATGGTAATGTCGCGGCACACTGAACCACTAGTGATTTAAATATTATTCATATTACAACGTATTGTGGAATATTAAATATAGAATAATCATAAAATTAATATTCACGAATTCATACGTGTATACAAATAGAAAAACGTATTATGTCGTAGTCGTGTATGAATTTAAAAAAAAAAAATTACACAATATATATTGTCCATTATTGTGAAAACTACATAGAAAATCAAAAAATCAGCTTCCCAAGGCACCGAGTACCGGACTAAGCCCGCCGCTAGAGACCACCGCACTCAACCGCACCTGCATAAAAAATAAACGTGTCGACAGTCCCAAGTCTGTGAAAAATGGGAAGGGGTAGTGTTGAATTAAATATATATATATGCGCACACACCAGACGCGTAACCGGGGGAGAGGTCCAGAACCCATGGACGGTCGACTGAAAAAAAAAAAAAAAATAAAAAAAATATCAGTGTTGGTTTAAACGGTTACGAATTATTTTTAAACTCGCTACGAGTCTCCGTAGTCTTCGCGTAGAACAATGTCACGAATCGATCGGGTACGCGCCCCACGGTAACAATAGTCGTGATTTTTACATTTTATAGGCGAACGGAAACACGAAATTAGCATAATTGGTATTTAAAAGCGTATTGGCTATTGACGTATTGCGTTTAGTCTTCAAGTGTTAGTTTTATTTATCGTTCGTTATCGTATTATTTTCTATAAGCCTCGACAGCCGGAAAATTCTTCGTCAACAATAAAGGCAGGCACGAATTATTATTATTATTTTCCTGTTAAATATCGTAGTCGTCCGATATCGACAATTATGTTTCACTCGTGTTTGTCCGCTCAAATGCATAATGTAAACCACAAAAACAGTAGAATGTTTGTAATATTTTGATTTCAGCACTTGACAATTTTTTTTTTTTTCAAATCTAATTATAAATATGTTTACATAATTACATACCCATTGTCCCTGGTTCCTTTTCAAAGAACGCCATCCCAGCATCTATGCGCGACAATCAGGTTTTTGAATCCAATTTCATTTCGTCCCCGTTTGAAAATATTACCTCGCGGGCAATACAATGGCACCCTTGTGCGCCACTGTTTAACGTGTAAACACCCAACGACAATTTTTTTATGGCAATACCGTATGGCAAACGATATTTTAGCAAAGTCCTCGCGCCACGTACTCATAATTGCACATTTCCAACCTCATTATAATAACACGTTTCTGTAATAAAAACAAAAACCGCCGCATGATATTTTAACATTTCGTACGGTCATACGTGTGCGCAACATTTTCGTAACGCGTATCCATTAGGTATTTCCGGTGACCTTATATGGAAAAAAAAAAAAAAAAAAAAAAACACAATACTACAACATAATTGGAAAAAACCAAATAATTTCAATACGGCAAGAGATAAAATATTAAACATTTTTATGAGATTTTGTCAACGTAACATATACGCCGAAAAATACAACGAAAACCGCGGTGTCAACATATACGTACACAGATTAAACCGATAATTCTCAATTTTCAGCAGTGCGTTCAAATATTTTCGTAATAACTTGTCGCAGTGTGTTATTCTCAGAACACTCAAATTACAATGTAATATATAGCTACGGTAATGTGTTCTTAACAGCTGTTGCACCCCGATATTTAAAATAAAACACGATTATTGACATTTAAATAATAAAAACACGGTTGTTATGGTTTTATTATAAAAAAAAAAAAAAAAAAAATAAATACTTAATGTTAAAACGTTAAACGACACAGACGGACGAATATTGATAAAATATAACTGAACAAAATGCATTTAAATAGTTTGTTTGTGATGCAAATATTATCTATTGTTTTGGTAGCATGTGACCGAAATCAACAAAACTGTTTGGCCGGCGGAAAAGCAGCGGAACATTTTGAATTTCCTTTTATGGCGATTATATTTCACAAGACAATGTCCTGTTCGGGAGCAATTATATCCAAAGAATGGATACTGACGGCGGCTCATTGTTTTACCGTTAGCGAATGGCACGGTTTAAAAGCCACCGAAATCAGGGCTGTCACCGGCCTAGTGAATTATGTAAAACCTACAAAGTACACACAAAACAGAACGGGAAAAGAAGTTCACCGGCATCCGAACTACAAAGTAAGCAGAATACATTACGCACGGATATACTTTAAACAATAGCGCGACGGTTGGGTGTTGTTTGTTAGGAGAAACAAGTTGCCAATGACGACTTAGCTCTTATTAGAGTCAAACCGTTTGATTTGACGATTGCCGTTGATATCATTCGCCTATCGGACCAGGGATTTTCGGTAAACGATTATGTGCCGTGTATGGCCGTTGGTTGGGGAGAAATCAACGTGCCGCCCGGTAGACAAAACACAATCTTGCACAAACTCAAGGTGTTTTCTTCGATGTCGGCTAAGGCGTGCCCGCACCTATCGCCTTGGGAAAGAGCGAAGATCATTTGTTTACAACAGGAAAACGGCAAAGGACTGTGCGACGGCGACTCCGGCGGTCCACTTGTCTGTGAAGGTAGTGCACATTGTAGCTACGATTATAAAACGCCCTAGCGTTTAAGATATCTGATAGCAGTCGGTTGCAGGCGAACTGTATGGCATTGGTCATCAAGTGTACAAAGAAATACACAACGATTACGAACGGAGAGATTTAGAACGTTGCGGTGTACCCGGTATCACTCATACGTATATGTTTGTGTGCCCATATCTGAATTGGATACACCATTACGTGTCTACTGTGCCGAGTAAGCCAGCATCTTGTTACCGGAATTAAATAAAATCACGTAACCTCCGGGAATCGAGCCGAATATTGTGTGCCGCCGGTCCTCGGGCGAAAACTCGGACGGATTCTGAAATCGTAATGAAAGAATTTCGTATGTAACACACTGATGCAGGAACAACTATACTATGTCCCGGTATACCGGACTTCGGCTATGGTCTAAAATCGTGTACTACTTTATAGTACTTTTCCGCGGTGTTATCGAATCAAAGTTCGTTGTTCTAAGACATTTTGCCAACGACAATAAATAAAAATGTACTGTTAAATGTAGAACGTACGGTTATCTGTACACATCTCTAGATAAAGTTGCTAGTAAAATTAAAAGCTTAAGGCTTTTAAGATTAAATTTAAAAATATTTAGTATTTTATCGCGTTTTTAAAGAATTAAAAAAAATGTACGAGAAACTTGAACATTTTCATTGTTTTAGTGATTATAATATCGAACATATCAACTAACTGTTCTGTAACACCAATGACATGCTTTCCTGTTAACCTACGAATTAATTTGTAATACTAACTTTTTAGTTATGAATTTTGTAAACGAAACTAAATTAAGTTTTGTATTTGAACCGAACTATTTTGTACCCATGACAATTATTAGTTTATAAAAATGAGTTTGTTACTGTAACTAAAAGTATTGTTGTTCCTGAACCAACTGATAACTATAACTATTGTGTTTCGGTTCCAACAGGGCTACTAGTACAGATGAGAAGTTGGGAAGGCAGGATGGCGAGGAGAATTCAATGTATGTCTATTTCGCAACTATTGAACTTCGCTAACGAAAAACGATTCTGAGCCCGGTTCGGTTGCACGGGTTTTGAAATGCCCTTATTTTTTTTTTTCGATTTGAAAATAATACGTTTCGTAAACTTCCCGTGTTTTTTCACCGGTTTTTCCCGAATTTATTGACCGTCTCGGGAAAATTCGCTTTCGGAAAACGCGGTACGCCGGACACTTCGGAGCGAGATTTCCGCGGCAGAACTCTTTTGTACGACTGAAAAAAAAAAAAAAAAAAAAAAAATTAAACATCACTGTAAAACCAATACATTCTCCGCTCCGCTCGGAATCTAAATTATCGTGCGCCTCTGTGTACGCGGCTCCACATTATTATATTGTACTTGCATTACACGAATACCCGGTAAAATCGTCGTCGCGCGTACACAATACAATAATGTTATACGCACTTATGTATATTATTGTAATATGGCGGCGCGTCTCGTTTGGCGGTGCGCCTCCGCCAGGGGCGCGGACGCGTTATGTTTGCGTGTAAACAAACACACGTGCACCGTAATAACGCAACGACATTAAAACAATGACGATATTATCGTCGTTATCGGTCGTACGGATTTTTTTATTTTTTTTTTTTTTTTTCGGCCGCGTGTGCGTTGTGACAGACTACGGGGCCCAGAAAACCGAGGGGGGAAACGAACGGAATGCCGAGCGGAAAAACGGTCCGGCGTGTTACTGTAACGTCACTGTTCACACGCGTACCTACGAGATAATAATAATAACAATTAATACCGAGCGGGGCGCGGCGAGAACGTCTACGGAAGGATAAAAAACATACGCTCCGAATTTAAAAAAAACGACCGAAAAAACCGGACACGATACTTCGGATAGCGAGTGCGCCACGGCCGGAGTAGGCGGGAAGTCGGGTAATGGGTATGATATCGATAAATAAGCTAGTAAATACGGGTTTGTATGAATTAAACGATACAGTTCTAGATTTAATATCCGGAACGAAGCGCACGGGTATGGTGACCGGTAAACAGGTAGTCGGTTACCTAGCATACTGTACATTGGTTTTTCGCCGCGGTTTCGTACGATACGGTTTATTTAACGTCTTGCGCCGGTAGAGCTGCTCTACAGTGGCGGTGGTTGCGGCGTTAAACGCGACGTCGTGGCGCCGTCACGAGCAGAAGGGCCGAACGGAGAAGCTTACGAGAAGTTACGAAAATTGCGATTTCGGTTGGATATTCGAACCGCGTTTAGCTCTGATTGGCGGGACCTCCGGTTATTAATACACATTGTCGACACGTTCAGTCTTATAAAGTAAAAAATTCAAATACCTATACGCACATCGTTCGCCTCTGTGCGCCCCGTATACCCGGAGCGAAACACGGACGTCCCGCGAATACCGTATTCGGTTCGCATAGTTATACCCCTCTGAATTGTATGAGATTCAATGAATAGTATTATGCGTCGATTAGGTGACGCGGCAAACGGGTCCAACAATCGGTAGTTCATCAGGAGAGTCAAATAACGTGTATCGGTGATTTTATCAAATTTTTTTTTCCCGCATTACGGCTGAACGCGAATGATTTTTTTTCGTCCGGCGCAAACGGGTAACTCCCAGTCAGTGGCCGGTGGTTTAGCCGGGTCCTACGGTTTTCCGCCGTTGGTTTTTCGCCGGATTTCTCGGTGGGTCTCCGCGGTGACCGCCATCGGTATCCGCGCCGGGTCTCTCCGCGGACGCGTTCGACAATCGCGTTTATCCGTCCGGTCGTAAATTCACGGCCGGACCGTCTCGCGTTTATTACAATAATATACGGACACCTCGGTCGCACAATAATGGCTCCGGGCACCGCGACGGCTACGCGTATTTTTATACGATCCCCGCAGGATATTTATAGGATACCTGCACGCCTCGTACACACATACGTACGCATAGGTACTATTATTATACGCGTTTTTTTTTTCTTCCCCTGTCCGACGTGCCCTCGTATAAATCTCGCGCGTTCGGAGGGTCACCGCCGGCACGCCACACATGCGCTCGACGGGCTCCCATAGAAATACCGCCGGCGAAAGACACGCCGGCACCGGGTCGACAAGACGCCTACAACAATAACAATAACAATAACAATAATAATACGCGGCATTGTCCGAGCGACTTTTACGACCGCGCCGCGGTCGACCCCGGTGGACCAAAGGCCCGTCCGCCCGGGAACGCCGCGCAAAAAAGTTTTTATTTTTATTTTTTCTCCCCGTCTTCCCACCGCCACGGAATATCTTTAGAAATCCCGAACGTGTAGGCACAATAATAATACCTATATAACATATGATATATAAGTGCCCCGCGGTATTATTATACAGGTAATAATAAAGTCCCGGGCAGTCTGCCGAACAACAACAACGAAAAAAAAAAAAAAAAAGAAAGAAACGTTTCTTGAATGGGAGAAGAATCGTATATATACATTATTATATTATTATATTATCTATATATATATATATATATATTATATACGGCGGGAGGCGACTGTAATAATATAATATTTTACGCCGCGGACGCGCATACCTCGCATTTTATATTTCTGTGACACACGCGCGCAACAGACCGGAACGGGGGAAAAAAAAAAAAAAAGGAAAAAATCGTTATTATTATTATTGCTATTATTATTATTGTTGTACGGAGCCGGGTCGGTCGGGTACGCATTTATAGGTTACACGCCGAAAATAACGTCGACGCGTGAAACGCGACAATTTATGCACGCTCGGCCCATAATATCGACGGGCACCGGTTTCGAACCCGCGGTAAAATCGTTCGTCGTAAAATGTATCGCGGGACCGCCGGTGCCGCGCGGCTGTCCTGCACGCGTAACGTTATTACCGTGAAACGCGTAGAGCCGCTACGAACGTTGTCGCCGCGCGCGGTCACTTTTACCGCGTTCCGTTCGCGGCGTTCATCCGGCGGCAGGGGCGTCATTTGATGGGAGGGGGGGAGACAGAGCGTGCGGACGCACTCCTTACTTTCAGAACAGTCCCAATTGGCCCGCTGAAATAACGCACCATTTTTGTTTTTTTTTTTTTTTTTAACAATTGAATTGAAATTGAATTATATTTTTATGTTGAAATAGTATTGGTATTTTACTGTCAGCAAACAAATACCGTGCCATCAAGTAATTGAGCAAACAACGAACGTGTATCGTGTATTTTATAATCTACCAAACACACCTGACATCTACAGAATACAAATAGTGATACAGAACCGCACGCAGAAAAGTTGGACACCTTCGCGGTTGAACGGTTAACGGTTGCTGTTGTGGAAATATCGAAAACTAATGTCTCGTTATAAAAACAAATTTACCAATTACAATGGCGTCAAATGAAAGGTTTTTTTCATAGTTTAATAAAATAAAATCATATTTTGATGATCGATGATCAAAAGCTAAATGATCTTATGGTGCTATATGTTGGAAAAGAAAAAAACAAATAATATCGATTTAGAAAAATCTGTGAATATATTTATTGGACTTAAAAATCGCCGGATTCTTTTAAATATCTTATTAATAATCCTCGAAACATAATTGATTTGTTTTTCCTGGAGTGTTATGCTTGTGCAAATGATACTTCCCTATACTCTCCTCCAACTTAAATTTAAAAGTGGAATATCTCACCAACGGGTCGACGGAAATTAAAAATTTAATTTAACTAATCTATCAATGGAATTTATAATATAGGTTTCCATTTTCAAATCAAAAGTAGGTGGTGGTTTCACCCCCAAAAATATGGGTGACAAAAAATAACATAAATTTAAAACTATTTAGCGGCTTATTTCTTTAATGTTCTAGAAAACCAATTCCGAAAAATGCTAATACTTTCCGAAATAATGAGTGTACCCACTTAAATGGATCACTTTGTTAGTAGGTATATTTTTATATGGCCTGGTGAAATATTTAAGACGGCCTGCTTGAAATCTCACATACCTGAAAAAAAAACCTGAAATGATGTCCCTAGTTGGCAGCACTTGGTAGTGGCTGAGCGCGTGTACAAGGAGGGGGATTAGGGGTTCAGTATCCTCCAAAATTTCATGAAAATCATGATGGAAGTGTAGATTTTTAATAGAGTCTCAAAAGTGGTTTCTGTCAACGAGGAAGATAAATAAAATTTTGGTTATATTTTAATTGTATTACTAGATATAGTAAGCAGGTATATATTGTTATTATTGTTATCATTTATAATTTTCTGCGGTTTTTCTACTTTTAGAAAATTATAAC